TGGATACTGTTCTCGTTAAGATACACTTTTTCTATAGTCGAGTTTTAAGTTCTGTCAACGAGAGGAGTCAGATTTACGGTATCAAACAGACTTGAAACAATCTGACATAACGAAGAGACAATAGGAAAAGAAAGATTTTTTGCAAATATCTTTGGTGCCGAAGAACAGTTCTAAACTCATCCGTCCGATATCATTCTTTCACAATTACATTTTGTTGAAAAGTAAATCCAAAAGGGACTATGGTGATAATTACTTTATTTCTTTCAGAAATTATCCTTTCGTCTTTGATATTCGATTATCAACGACTTTTTCACAGAATTTTGAGAACTTAACACGATTTTACAATGATTTTGTTTAAACATTCCTTTTCTAATCAAGGAATCAGACTCAAAGTTTCTTCCGAGATTTCTTATCTTCAGCTTTCATAGTCATTTTACAGATTTCTTCATTCAATTTCAGCTCTTTCGTTTAATCAACCGAAATTTTGTCCAAATGCAACTTGGAATAAATCTGCAATTACTTTTGCTGATGAAAACATTATTGGACGATTTCCCGATACTCTTTTTATAAACACAAACAACACAATCTATTCATTTAATGAGGATACAAAACGAATTCTAATCTGGGCCAATCAAAGTTCAAATCCAACAAGCAACATTTCGGGGAATTTCGTCGATTCATTTTCGATATTTGTGACAAATGTTGGAGATATTTTTATCGATAATGGTGGGTTGCACAATCAAGTTAATCAATGGATTCAACAAAATGAAAGTTTGATCACTGTCATGAGTGTCGATTCTGTATGCTCTGGGTTGTTTGTCGATCAAAATAATTCGTTGTATTGTTCAATGCCCACTCAAGACAAAGTAGTGAAGAGATGGTTGAACGATGTTGATTTGAAACCAAAAATTGTTGCTGGAAATGGCACTCAAGGTTCTGCTCTCAATCAACTTTATTATCCTTGTGGAATATTTGTTGATGTGAATTTCGATTTATATGTGGCAGATCATCGAAATGATCGTATCCAACAATTTGAAGTTGGACAGTTAAATGGTACAACGAAAGTGGGAAACGGATCTTCATCTGTCACAATTACACTTAATGGTCCAAGTGGAATTGTTCTCGATGCACAAAAATATCTTTTCATTGTGGAAAGAGGAAGAAGTCGTATAATTGGAGAAGATGCGAATGGTTTTCGATGTTTAGTTGGATGTGATGGAGATGGTTCACAATCTCATCAATTATCCGGTCCAATTACTCTGAGTTTTGACATTGATGGAAATATTTATGTTAGTGATTGGGGAAATGATCGAATTCAAAAGTTTAATTTTGAAAAAACATCGTGTCGTAAGTGAAAAAGTGACTAAAGAAGAGAAATCTTTGTTTTTTCATTTGTAGAAAACTCTTCATTTATTGAAACAACAACAAAAATGCAACAAAGTTTGTTAAATTTCCAGAAAAACCTTTAATTTCTCCTTTGAAATTTTAGATGAAATGACAACGATTGGAAATATCTTACAAAGTCAACAAAGTTCGATAATTTCATTGGTAAAAATCCTTTCAATCGAATCAAAGTTGTTCATTTGTAGCGATAAAAGAAGAAACAACAATTTTTTCCACAACAATAAACCAAATTTCGACAAAATTTCCAAAAAGCGAAAGTAAAAATTGAAATATTTGAATAAAATCGAATATTTTATTTTCAATAGAAAAATGTTCGAATGTTGAAATTGATTTAATTCCTCATTCAACATTTTCATCACCAATTCAAATTCGTCGAAATCGTGATTTTTATATTTTATCCAAAATTCGATTCGATTGTTCAAAATCATTTCAAATAAAATCTCAATGGAAAATCCGAAATTGTACAACAAAATGTACAAATGAACTTTTGTTCGATTCGATTGATTTAACTCGAACTGATTTGTACATTCCTTCAAAAACATTTCCATATGGAATTTATGAATTTACTCTTCATATTCAATTGAAAGATTATTTGAATATTCGATCATCAAAATCAATTTATATTCAAGTGAATCCAACAGGAATCACCGTAAATCTTGTTGCATTAGGAACATCAATGATCACATCTGGTTATGAACAAGATCTTCATTTAAATCCTGGAAAATATTCCAATGATCCTGATGGTTATCCATTCAACTCCACAGTAAACTTCGTCTCCTTCTTTCAATCTCCTTTCTACCTTTTATTTCAGGATTGGACATATCTATACGATTGTCGAGCTTATAATACCTACGACATCGTGGACAGATATTCAATAAATAATCCATCAGAACTGTCATGTTTGTCAAATCAATTCCAATACGAATTCGATGGAGTCGAACTCTCAAAAGAAACTTCAGTCACAATCTTTGCTGGATCATTGGAATTAGATGAAACATATACATTTAGTGTTCAGCTGACTAATCGAAGAAATCGAACAATTCACGCATTCGGCTCTGTTCTTGTTCAAATCAAAGACTCGCAAAGACCAATGATTAGCATCGGGTAAATTCATCTAGGCATCTCTTTCCGTGTTCTATTCAGTCTTTGGTATAGATGCGTTATTCCAACACTTTGTCCATTAAATCTTGGATATCGACTGATCAATCCAACAATGCAATTGGCGTTATTTTCCCGATGTGAATCAAATTGCCAACCAATTGAGAATATCAAATGGAACCTTTTTTATAAATCAATGAATTCGCCTTCGAGTACATCTCAATGGTCTTCATTCGAGGAAACGGATTTATACGCTAAGATTTACATTTTTGGAGCAAACACGACTAATGTAACGATAGCAGATTATCTGTTTTTGACGCATCATCATGTAAAATATTGGCGTTTCGAAGTAACTTATACCTTTCGAAGTCAAATTGGTTCAAGTGCATTGGATTTTGAAATTCAAATGGAATTTGTCGATGCAACATGTTCAATATTTCCAACAAATGGAACAACAATGACGCGTTTTCATATCGCATGTTATCGTCCGTCGGAACTGAATTTTATTCGAGAATATTCATTATATTGTTCGTAGAACATGTTCATTCCTATTCGTATGAAATCTGTTCTGATTTTCGTTTAGATTGGTTAAATGATTCGATGAAGTTGACAATCATCGCATTTTCACCTGTTTCGAATTTTACAGTTCAATTACCGAGTGGAAAACTCAATCTTGTTCTTCAAATTCGCGATCTCAATTATCGAACTACAAAACTGAATTTAACAACTATTGAAATCTCCTCAGATTTATCTTTATTTTATGAAAACAATCAATCAGTTCTACAAATACTTCATACCAAAGATCGAAATTTCATTGCACAAATCATTTCTTCATTATCTCAACAGCTAAATGGAATGACCGATGAAACTCTTCGCAAATCGATACAAAGTCAACGATGAGAAAAAAAGTCTTCTTCGAAAAGTCGTTCTTTTGTTTAGATGGAATTCAACCAACACGAATCTTTGTTTCATCGTTAGGTCAACAACGACTTGTGTCAGAGGTGAAATTCTTCTATTTAATCTTTCATATTTGTTCATTGTTCATTTGTAGAACTTTGTATCGTCGATAAATCAATCAACAATAAAAGAAATTAACGAACAATTTCAGTCTCAAGCAGAACTTCGAGAATATTTGAGTGAATTCATCACTGATCTCACCTTATCTATTGAAAGTATGAAATTACAATTATCAACATTAATTCAACTCACCGAAACAACAAATCAATTAACAAGACAAACTCTCGTAAATCTCAACATTTTCTCACCTTATTTTCTCATGTACTTTTCATTAAAATAGATGATCGTGACACAGAAATGTTATCAATTATCGAAAGATCTGCATTCTTTATCAAGCAAAGTTCCCTATGAAGATATTCAAATGACAGGCCAACAACTTCTTCAATGTTCTGCCAATATTTTAACCGTAAACTGATTGACTTTCTTTATTGATATTGAAATGATTGGTTTAGGGTGTCAACGGAGTTTTACAACAAAGGACAAGTCTCTTAAAATCTGATTTTCAGAGTTCAACGAAAATCCCTGATGATTATGATACAAATTTGGATTCTGATTGGTCAAATTTGAGTGAGTTGAGAATGTTTTTATCTGATCAAATCAAATCTTCATTGTTTGAAAGAATTATTCGTTGATGGGAACGATTTTTCAATGGAGAAAATCAATGAAAATCGAAATCGATTTTATCAAGAAAAATTAGCGAAAGAAATCATTGAGAAAGTCGATGAGATCATCTCATTGGTCACTTCATCATTTAATATTCATTTAAATATCGGCCAGAAGATGATCATCGATACACCAGAAACATTTGTCTCATTTGAAGTACTTTCAATTGAATCACTTTCCAACAAATCAATCAAACAAGTTGGAGGAGCAGAAATTCATCTTTCATCCAATGTCACATCTTCTCTTGAAAACAATTCACCTGTTTTTCTTGTGAGATCAATGATGGAACGATTAGCCATTTATGATACGAATACCAATACGAATCTTTCTACGATGATTTCATTGACAATTCTTGATCGAAATGGAAATGAAATTCCATTTGAAACAACAAAACAAAGTCCAATTCGTTTGGTAATTCCACGAGATCCAAATGTTGTGATTCCACCAATGATTTATCATAATGTTTCAGCATTTAATTCTTCTTATCATAATCAAACATTTCATTATCATTTTGTAAATATTTCCTCTTCTTTACCAATTTCCATTCATCTCGAATTTGAACCAATCGTTGTTAATTTATCTTATTTATTAATTTATAAATTTGATCAAATTCCTCGATTAAATCGATCGATGAATCAGATTGATGGATGGAAATTATTTTGTTCATCTATTCGCAATTCTCCTTTATTTCTCGACAATCAACAAACAATTGGTCATCAAACATTTATATTTGGTTTACGTGAATTGACTTCATCTGAATCCAATGAATTTTGTTTAAATGAAACACTTCCAATTCCAATCGATCCAGTTCATTTTACTTCAGATTATCAAACGAGAATTTATACATCTGGTTGTTATTATCTTAATAAACAAAATCAATGGAAATCCGATGGATTAATTGTTGGATCAAAAACAAATCATTATGAAACAGAATGTTTTTCTACACATTTAACAAAATTCGCAAGTGGATTTGTTATTTTACCCGAAATGATCGATTGGAATTATGCTTTTAACAATGCAGATTTTCACAAAAATAAAACAATTTACTTAACTGTCATCACTGTTACCCTGATCTACATTACTCTGATGATCTATGCACGGAAATACGATAAAAAAGATTTTGGAAAATTGGGTGTAACACCTTTATCTGATAATCGATCATCCGATAATTATTTTTATCAACTGATTGTTTTTACTGGTCATAGGAAAGACTCAGGAACAAAATCCAAAGTTCATTTTGTTTTATATGGTGAAAATGAAGTAACTCGTATTCGAACATTCGATGATCCTCAAAGAGAAATTTTTCAACGTGGTGGAATTGACTCATTTATCATGAGAGTTCCAAAATCATTAGGATTATTAAATTGTCTTCATATTTGGCACGATAATTCTGGAAAAGATTCATTTGCATCTTGGTTTCTCAAATACATCATTGTTCGTGATTTACAAACAATGGAAACATCTTATTTTATTTCCCAACGATGGTTTGCAGTGGAAAAAGATGATGGAAAAATTGAACGAGTATTTCCAATTGCAAATGAAGACGAAAAGAAAACATTTTCATTTCTTTTATCAAAAAAAGCCTTTCATAATTTCTCCGATGGACATTTATGGTTTTCAATCTTTGCTCGTCCACAATTAAATCAATTTTCACGTGTTCAACGATGTACTTGTTGTTTTGTTTTACTTTTCATTTCAATGCTTTCGAATATTATGTTTTATGATCTCGCAAATGAAGCAAAAGTCAAAAATTCAACAAGTCTTTCTTTTGGAACATTTTCAATCACATCCGATGAAATTCTCATTGGCATCATGAGTGAACTAATTTCGTTAATTCCAAGTATTTTGTTAGTCCAATTATTTCGTTGTCTTCGATCTCGTCATCAGCGAATGAAACCAATCTGTGAGAAGAAGAAGAAGAAATGTTCATTCACATTTCCTTGGTGGTTCTTATTTATTGCTTATGGAATTTCTTTTCTGTTAGTTGTTGTTTCGATATTCTTTATCATCGTACGTGGAATTGAATTTGGTGATATGAAAAGTCAACAATGGTTGACTTCAGTCCTTTCGTCATTCTTTTCATCGATTTTTCTCACTGAGCCAATTAAGGTAAAAGTTCTCTTTCACTTTATCTCAAATGAATTTCTCTCTTTTTCAAATAGATTTTATCTTTGGGAATAATTTTTGCATTTTTTTGTCGAAAATCAACAAATGAAGATGAAGAAATGAAGGAATATTTTGATGAAAATCAATTAATGTTGAATAAGGATGAAGAAAATCTTCATTCATCAATTGAAATTATTCCATCGACTCGTCCTAAACGATTAACTTCAAATGAAATCGCTTGTGCTCGACAAATTCGTCTTCGTGAACTTCAAATGTGGAAAATTATTCGAGAAATCATCTTTTACATTTGTTTTCTTTCCCTTCTGTCTGTGATTGTTTATTCGAATCACAATGAAAACGCGTCATTCCAAGTTCAACATCTTCGAAAATCATTTCAAATGAAATTTTCAACAGTAAATGAATATTGGAAATGGTTAGAAGAAGATTTTGTTGGAAAGATTCGTGCACAAAAATGGTATAATAAAAAGAATGTTGAAAATCTTCGTGGATATTTAAATGATACTTCAAATCGACTTCTCGGTTGGGCTTTAATGAAACAATTACGAATTCGAACAGAACTTTGTCCAAAACGAATTCAATTCAGTTCAATTTGTCGAAATGATTTGAGTTTATCAAATGAAGAAAAACGTTCTTTTACTCCTGGATGGTTTGAACATTCCATTTTGTTATTTTCTTCATCAATTTCTCAATCATTTCAATATAAATCTAAAGATCGTGGATATATTTATGAATTTCATGGTTCAATCAAAGATCTGCGAGAAAATCTTTCTGAACTTCATCGATTTCAATGGATTGATCAACAAACACGTGAAATTCAAATCCAAATGTCACTTTTTAATCCAAATGTGAATTTATTTACTTTTGTCACACTTCAAACACAATTTGATTCAACAGGAAATATTGATTTTCAATCTCGATTTGAACCAATTCATTTTTATGGTAATTTTTCTTTTAAAAAGACAAATCTCATCTTTTCTTTTTAGCTTTTACATCATTTTCTCAACTAATTTGTACAATAATTTAATTATTGTTAATTCTTTATATGATTTTCAATGAAGTTCGATCGATTGTCAATTTCAAATGGAAATATTTGCTTAAATTTTGGTCAACAATCGATCTCGGTGTAATCATTTGTTCGATTTCATCAATTGGAATTTATTTTTTTCGATATAAAACCGGAAAAGAAATCGGAAAATTGTTTCGTGAAAGTCAAGGTGATATTTATATAAATTTAGAAGAATCCGTTTATTTCAATGATCTTTTGAATTATTTTTACGGTTTTTGTTGTTTCTTTGGCACAATTAAACTTCTTCATTTATGTCGATTTAATCGTCGTTTATCTTTATTCGCAGAAACACTTCGTTTATCAACAAAAGAATTCGTTTCATTTTCATTAATGTTTTCAATTCTTTTCATTTCATTTCTTTGTTTATTTTATCTTCTTTTTCTTTCAAAAATCCAGTCTTGTTCAACTTTATTCGACACATCACAAATGTTATTTGAAATGATTTTAATGAAATTCGATTCGGATGAATTATCTCGTTCGTGAACATTTCTTGGACCATTTTCTTTAACTTTATTTATTCTTCTCGTTGTTTTCATTTGCTTAAGTATCTTTTTATCAATTATCAACGATAATTTTCGACTCGCGCGGGAAAAAGTCATCGAAGATCCGGAAGTATTTTCATACATAGTCAAGAAATTTCTTCAATGGACAGGTAAAATTCATCAATGGAAGAACCTTTTCTACAAATCTTTGTTTTAGGAATAAGAAAACGACCTGAATGGGAAATTCAAGAACAAAAAGATCAACAAATGCGTCAGAAATATTTACACACAACCGATACACTTCGATTGCGAACAAATCAATTGGCCAATCAGATAAATCGAGTATGAAATCTCTCTTCTTTGCTTTTCTTTTAGAATTCTCCATTTCAGATGTATTTTAATCAACGAACAACAAATGTTTAAAGACAATCTTGTTCTTTTGTCATTTATCGCTTTATTTTATTTACATTGTTATTGATATTAAAAGAACTTTACATCTTCATTCACATTTTGATCTTCTGTTCATTCAAAAAATAAATTATTGCTAATGTAAATAACATTTAAATGTTGAGAGAAAAAAAGAATATTCAAAATCGGAATAAAGCATACGGAAGATTCATTAAATGTTTCCATATTACTTTGAACATCGAGTTACAAATGATTTATTTAATTGTAAAAGAATATGATCAATATTATTTATTGAAAAAATAAGATCTCTGATATTTCTGAAACGAAAGAAATAAGAATTACGCCATTTAAGTGATCCAATCATTTGATAATTTGTCTCAATCTTTTACTCGTATTCATTTTACTTCGTGAACTCTTATCAGCCTAACGTCTAATCGTTCCCATTATGTCTTTCACTCTTGATTAACTTTTCAAGTGATTAGCTACGTTTCTTTTCATTACGAGAAGAAACTAGATAAGAAGTTTTATTTTATGATTTACCATTGAAAGAATACTCAACCTAGGATTTCATATGTTTTGAATACTATTTGTGTAGTCAATGTTTCTGCAGTTAACAAGATGAAGTTACCCTGACGAACACATCTTTTCCCTGCTAAAATCCTATCGAAAAATATGACATGTCGCACCTACGTTCTTACCGCTTGTTCTGATTTCTTGAGTTATAACTATCATAATGTAAGATATACGAAATCTTTTTGTTTAAACTCCTAAACTATTACCTCCGCGCACATCACACCCAGGAATATTGTCTAAATCACTATTTTTTATAAAAGATTCTAGCAAAGATACAGAAAAATATCTCTTTTGGAAAGAGAAAGGAAGAAGTCGAAGCCTGATGAATAGGAAAGAACTAACCTCAGATTCGTGATCTTCGACCGCGATTACCCTTTGAACACACTTTCTTAGTCAGCAATGTGTATATTGTATTTTCATCAGCGTAAAGTACGTGAACGGAACGGACAAACTTCAATTGAAATTCTATGTATACCCCCCTTTCAGCAGAGGGAAAAAAATCATAGTAAATATAACTCGAACTATTGTTTCGGATAGTTACTGACGATATCTCTTTGAATTGTTGAATCAACGATGATGCACTCGTGGTCATAACTGGAGACGTTTGTCGTCTATTATAAGAAATGGGTAAACATACGAAAACTAATTAGATATTTTATTCAGTTCTGTTTATATCAATGTGATTGCTTCATGTCGAGTCATTACACTCTCTTCCTTATTCGACGTCATTCGTGATTACTGAACTGAATCTTCTCTGACCGTAGCCGTCAGTAGACATTTTTCCAACTAAATTACATATTTAAACAGTATACAACGGTTAGCAAAGTAAATATTCGGCTTGGGATTCCCTTTTGTCAGCAGTCTTTCGGTGATCAATCTCAACAATATGTTGTCTAAGTAAGTTGATTTAGATCGACATTGTTAGACTAGAAACTTGTGTTTTTTTCTTCTTTTTCGTAGACTTTTCGATTTATGGGTACGACGAGAGCGAAANTTTTCATTTGCTTAAGTATGTTTTTATCAATTATCAACGATAATTTTCGACTCGCGCGGGAAAAAGTCATCGAAGATCCAGAAGTATTTTCATACATAGTCAAGAAATTTCTTCAATGGACAGGTAAAATTCATCAATGGAAGAACCTTTTCAACAAATCTTTGTTTTAGGAATAAGAAAACGACCTGAATGGGAAATTCAAGAAGAAAAAGATCAACAAACGCGTCAGAAATATTTACACACAACCGATACACTTCGATTGCGAACAAATCAATTGGTCAATCAGATAAATCGAGTATGAAATCTCTCTTCTTTGCTTTTCTTTTAGAATTCTTCATTTCAGATGTATTTTAATCAACGAACAACAAATGTTTAAAGACAATCTTTTGTCATCTATCGCTTTATTTGTTGTATTTATGAAAAACATTTCAATAAAAAAGATATTAATGATAAATTTATTCATTGGAAAACAAATCGAAATATCATATTGTTATTGATATTAAAAGAACTTTACGTCTTCATTCACACTTTGATCTTCTGTTCATTCAAAAAATAAATAATTGTTAATTTAAATAACATTTAAATGTTGAGAAAAAAAGAATATTCAAAATCGGAATAAAACATACAGAAGATTCATTAAATGTTTCCATATTACTTTGAACATCGAGTTACAAATGTTTTATTTAATTCTAAAAGAGTAAGCTCAATATTATTTATCGAAAAAAAGTCTTGTTTCAACACACGATAGGAATTATTGAAAAAAATTACAAGTAACACGGCGCCGTAGTCGCTGACCCTCTACTGAAAGAAAATTATTAGATCTCTGATATTCCTGAAACGAAAGAAATAAGAATTACGCTATTTAAACGATCCAATCATTTGATAATTTGTCTCAATCTTTTACTCATACTCATTTTGCTTCGTAAACTCTTATCAGACTAACGTCCAATCGTTCCCATAACTGTTTCTGTTATGCCTTTCACTCTTGATTAACTTTTAAAGTGAATAACAACGTTTCTTTTCATTGTTCCTTACAAATTGGTGATCTTCCACTCGTTTCGTTACCAAAAAAAAACTAGATAAGAAGTTTTATTTTATAATTTACTCTGGAAAGAACACCTGTCCTGGTGCTTCATTCAAGGGGGGAAAAGCAGACTTCTGTACTTCGTTGTACTTCACGGTACTTCTTCGTACTTCTTCGTACTTCTTTGGACTTCTCCGTACTTCTTTGTACTTCTCTGCATCTCATGATAACTAAATTGGTATATATTATATAGGCTTATATAAAAAATTTCATCCCACAAACGAAACAAAATGATCTGATGTTATAGGTGATAAGAATTCTATCCCCAATAACAAGACACTTTTGTTCTATATTGTTAGCGTTTGTATGAATCATACAAAGTT